ACGAACTATAAATACCGTGTAATCTGTGTATGTATCACCTTATCTACGCATGACTCAGACTATTGTAGCATTACCTATGATTAAGGATTCCCAAAATAATGCGAAACGTCCGGACAATAAACCTTTTGTTCCAGTGATCGCTTCTTCTTCTTCCGAACTGCTTCCTGGAACTCGGATATTCTCCTCTATTGACAAGGGGCTTGTATGTCTGGAACAGTCACTGCCTCAAACACCTCCTGGTTCTGGCAGGTCACTTGTCACTGAAGAAAGCTGGATGTTGGTCCACAGAAGGAAAGGGGGAGGGACGCTAATGACGCAGAAGATATTCATCGTAGACTATCCAGGCACCAGACAACACCAAGCACCTTTTCCTCACTAGAGGAATACCAACTCGGAAGGGAGAAAAGACAACCCACCGAACGCATGCTAACATACCTTTCCTTGTCGCACTTCCTCAGCCACCTGGCTTTGGGCGATTCGCATACTCTCTAATTTCCTCGGCTCCTCTTCCAGTTTCTTCAAACTAGCCTCCTCCACAGCAGACACTGAAGTGAGGGTGTGCTTAGACGCCTCGAGAGAGCAGTGGACTAAGCACTGCAGCTGCAGAGTTGCCAAGGTGACCTGGCAGTGGAGCCTCTCCTTGCAGGAACCCATATCGGACTTGAAGTTGGAAAGCGCGGCTTTAAAAGAAGCAATTGCGGTCCTTTCTGAGCGCAGGGTGGTAAGCTTTTCGGTCAGATGTGCGAGCACCTAAAAGGGTGTTAGGAAAAGATGTGATCGAAGCACATATGTCTTCACTTTAAATGACAAATCTGCCTTCTTTTTCTACTATGTCGGGAAGTAAGGCACAAATATCCGCTCCGCAAGTTTATATGAATAGTTAAGCTCAACATCTATCGAATACTACGGAATAACCGCGTAGTATTTGTAAGCATGGACATTTGCAGGCTTGGGAGATGCCGAGCTCACTGGACATCAAACACCAGGGCGGATGTGCCCTGTATCTGATCGATGTATGCTTGTTTACTAATGTATGGTCCTGATCAACAACCATCAAGACGTCGAGCCCGATAACTCGATGGATAGGGCATCTTCCCCTGACCGAAGAGATTAGAGCTCGAAACTCGAGGGTGGCGGCAATTTCCGCTGCTGCACTTGAGTAGAGTATATCCAGCTGACGACGCCTAATGAAGCAGAAATGGCCATTCTGTATTCCCTTGTCTTACGGCAAAATGTCCTAAAAAATGGAAATTTGTATTCATGTAGCAGAAACCACACGCGGCGCGCAGTGGTGAATCGAACTCCTCATAACTGCCTCA